GCACAAGCACTGAGGGCACAAAAATTGCCTTCCCTGTTTTGGTCTGTTTTCTTTGTTCAGTTTGAGAGCTCATAGGTGCGTGAGTTATGAGTGAGAGGCTTAATTTAAAAGCCAACTGCTTGGGATTTTGAAACAATATTGAAGGTATTACTTTTGATCATTGGATGTCCTTCTTGAAGGCTTGTTAACATACACCTAATATCTTTGAAATGTCAAATCTTTCCCTTGTCATGTGAACAACAATTCCATAAGCTATAGGATTTTCTTTGTAGTTGATCATGTTATACTAATACTTTTTAACTCCTTAATCCAGTTGATGTGAAATGTATCAGAACACAAAACAAACAACGGCACATTCATTACAATACGTTGGATCTGGAACATCCTCGCTTATACACGCACTATATCAACATCAATATACATTCATACAACACAAAGCAAATTCCATCAAACAAAAACAGAAAAGACATGGACAAGACAAACACGACATTAATTGTCTGCCAAGTATATTGGCGATCATTTGGTCATGGAAGGAGGCACCTGTGGAGCAGCAGTTGGTGCCCCAGTCCAACCTACATCATAAAAACAAATACAAAATAAAAATTGATGTACCGCGGAATGATGTAAATAATGATAAATTTAAGGTCATAGTATATTACTATACAATGACGACATATATGTGTGTAGGATTAGTTTAAAACCTTTGGAGGGGTTGAAGCCTCTAGATTTGAGCTCAGCATGTTCTTGGCAGAGGGCACACGGTCCACAGAAGAAATGAACACAACAATCACCACAAGGCTCCTCCGGCAGACCAAAATTTTGGCGCAATCTCTGTCTATACATGCATGAGTAGATCCACTGGCAGTGAATCGTCCACAACAACCAGTACACTATGCAATGGGAAAGGCAAGCTAAAATTACAAAATCCAACTGTTAGTAACACACCATTGACCTAATCATCTTAATAATTAAAGTCAGGTGCAGTCGGTGTGAGTAGAAATTAACTTTTCCATATACAACAGTCTATGTATCGCAGCTGTTCTCTCACACTAAGTGATCACGTGATTATTACTACAGAACTAAATGTCAGAGACCAGTTATATATACAACCACTTTAAGGGAAAAATAATAAATTCACCATGTTTATAGATTTGGGAAATCTTTTTGGTCTTTTGACACTTACAATTTCGTCCTTCGTCGACAATTTCTGCGTTTCGGCCGAAGGTGATGCATGGGAAACACCATGTCATGCAACCTACACCACAAGATCAATTTCACCAATTGGTATAAATTAAATTGTCAGGTAACTATAATAGACAAAATGAATTTTGGCCCCAGAGAGAATTTTTATCTTACATGTACAAAAACTTTCTCCACAGTTAAAAAAACCACGCGACCACTGCTGAGGGCGATGACCATAATCAACGTTCATGGTTTTCTTTTATGAGATTAGAATTCGACCAGAAAAAAAGATTGCTGGAAATGGAAAAGTTTCAGTAATGTAAGAGGAGATGTAAGAGGGAGAGAGAGAGAGAGACTGTAAATGTTTTCGAAAAATGTGGAAGTGCCTTGCTTGACAAAGAATCAATACAATGGTTTATATAGACTTACAAAGAATCAGTACATACTGTGTAAGACCCTAGACTAGTACTAGACAAAACCCTGGAGGACAAAGGTGGGCCTTATCCACTTACAGCTTAGAACGCACTATTATAGGCATATGCTTCTTCTGTTGGTAGAGCAGGCGCCATGTTATTATTAATGATGTTAACCCAGCAGCAACCCTCTAAGAAAAGACACTGCACTACAACGCGCCGTCTGCTGCACGTTGTTGAAGTATACTTTTGGCAACATGCACCAAGTGCACATTGTAGTACACTAACCTTCTTTTAATGCGCGTTGTCAAGATGAAATTTAGAGAAAATTTCGCAACTGAATGTTCTGATATTTTTGGGTTCTACAACGTGTAAAACATGTTGTCAAATTATTTCATTTAAAAAAAAAAGAAAATATATCCAAAATTTATGCGGGAGAACCCTCTAAGAAAAGACACTGACATGGACATTGTTACTTTTTATGCGAGTGGATTGGATTGTGCCACGGACATTGTTAATTTTTCTTCTACGAGTTCAAATTTCAGGGTTGAATAAAAACCAATACATTTATATGGTCCAGGTGTACAAAAGCAAAAGCTCGATGGAAGTATACAATTGTCTGGTGATATGACTCTAAAAACTTAATTATAATGATGGAAGTGTGAAACCCTGCATTTTTAAAAATATATTAATATTTTGGGAAATTAAATATTTTACTAAATATTTAGTTATATGCTTTAATTGATTATATATATTTAATTATAATTACCTTTGTCCGTAGCATATAAATATATTTGCTATACTTTTATAATAATACTTGTTTGATATCTCTCTCTTATCACCTCCTGCAATGCAAAACTAAATGCTAAGTTTAAGAGTTGTATCATACTATTGTTGGACACGTCACTTTACTATAGTCAACCTAGAAGCACTGTCACCTAGTGAGTTGTCAATTGTCATCTCCTGCCTATAGCTGGCTGCCTTGCGTTCATATTCTTTGATAGTTCTTTAAGACGATCGGAGCGACCAGAACGCTCTACATGGTGTGTTATCGTTGGCTAATGTCAGGGTTGTCGCTAGCCTAGCGTCATGTAAATTCAAAATTTTTTTTAATGTTGACACGCGTCAACGGTAAAATTTTTTTAAACCTAGGCGTTGATGTCATGCTGGCATCAACTACCTTTGGGCTCGACCTCGGGCTAGCCTAGTTTGGTGGGACCCGCAACTTGCCCAGGCAAGTTTGGCACGCTGGAAGCTCTCACCTGGGCTTGGGCCCTGTCCTGCCATGGTTGGGGGCAACTGGTGGAAGGGCTCTAAGAGAGAGAGAGAGAGAGAAGAAAAGAAATATGGGGAAGACAAAGTGAAAGAGAGATGCAAGGAAATAGGATATTGGAGGAGATAGAGAGCTTTGCTTGTGTTTTACTAATTTGGAGTTATGCTTTGGAATTGAGGTTGGGGGTTTCTGGGGGAGCTTTTATAAAAATTGATTAAATTAAATTTCGTGAGAACTATGTTATACTTGATATTATAAATTGATTAATGTTCTTGATATTGGGTGTTTACATGTTGTTAATTATCATTATATTATTTTATTAATATTAACATGTTCATATGTTATCGGTGATGGTTGGAATTTTTGGGATTAATAAAGAGATTATGGAAAATGGGGTAATGGGAAGGATCTTAATTTGCTGTGACAGGAATACGCTGTCCCTTAAGCACACACTTGTAAACATTGTTAATCTTCAAACATGAAGAATACAAATAAACCATTTATTCCTAAAACTGAGTAATTAAACAAACAAAAAAATTGTTAACAGGTCTTTGTCTGCCAAAGTATTATCCAGATCACTTGTGCATGGATGGAAGCACCTGTGGAGCAGAAGTTGGTGGCCAATCCAACCTAAATTTTACATACAAAAACAAAATACAAGCGTAACTGTAATTAGAACCGAATGATGTTGATGATAATGATATAAAATGTAAGGTTTATTGCCTTAAACCTACTAAAGTGATCCTCTAATCAATGAAGGAGGAGGATATAGCACATAAGTGCTTAATTGAGTCGGTGGATATGTGTTTGGTTCAAGTGGGAAGAAATGGTTCAACTAGTACAATTAAAACTTGCCAAGTGCATGACCTTATAAGAGACTCTTGTGTTTGTTAAAGGCAGAAGAGGAAAATGAGGCAACTAATCCTTTTAATTCTGATATGGTAGTCAAGTCAACACCATTGGGGAAAGTTCGAAGATGTGCAATTTACTTGGATGAAAATGCTGATGGGTTTGTTTCATCAAGAGATAAAACAAATGGCCATTTCATGTCTCTATTATACTCTGTCCTTGGAAAATGGAGGCCAAAAAGTGAAAAAGTATTACTATCTTCTTTGACGGATTTCAAAGTACTTAGAGTTTTGAAGGTTGAAGATGTTGATGAAGTAGAAGTAGAGTTGCCAAGTGAAATTGGAAATATGGCCCACTTAAAGTTTCTAAGTGTGAGGTATAGCAATATAAAAAGGTTTCCGTCATCCCTTTGTAATTTGATATGCTTGCAAACTCTTGATTTCCGTGTTCGATATTTTGATTTGTTCATTGCAAATGTGATATGGAAGATTAAACACTTAATACATTTATATTTACCGAAGTGTTACACAGCAAGCGGTAACTTGGAACTATGTACTCTTGGCTAGACCTTAGATTTTCTGTCAAGTAAGTACAGTGATTTAAAAGATGTTGCTGGATTAAACAATCTTAGAACACTGAGCATAAGAGTGTCAAGCCCCTTGAAAAATCTGGAGGAAATCTTGTAATCTATATGCAACACACTTAACCATATCCAATCTCCATTTGTATACAACGATTATTATTTTGTAAAGAGCAGAAGTTATGAGGAGCAGGCTAATCAAATAGTATCAAGTTGTCCTCGTATATACAAACTGAAGTTGGATGGGCCTGTTGTGCAAAAACACTGCAAGACCTTGGTGATCCCTGAGAAATTCACTAATGTGAAAAAACCCCTTTGGTTACCAATTTGATGCCTTAGCTTTCTCACGTTATGAAAACCTAGCGCTAAAGTGCCTGTTTATAGTTTAACCCAAGTAGGCTAGCAAAATACCAAAAACCTAGGTAAAACTCCAAAACACGCTGAGACCACTAGGATGTGGTGACCGGTCACTTTGCATAGAGACTAATTCATTGCTCTCGGGTTTGGGCGACTAGTCGTTTCCGGAACTAACGACGAGTCATTTCTGCTCCAGACTTCCTATTTCTGCACCCTTAAGTGAGCCAACTCCAACAATCTCCACATTGGTGAGCCTTAAACACCTCATGAAAATCATTCACCCCTAGAACCTCTTCAAACCTCTTGGAAATCGTTCTAGTAACTCCCAAGAGCTCTACCTCAATCTTTAGCATGCAACAAGATTGAGCAAGCTCAAACAATGGTTGAACTTCTCAGTTGTAACTGGCTTGGTTAAGCAATCCGAAGCGTTGTCATTTGTATGAACATTCTCTATTGCAATCTCCCCATCATTCACCTAATCCCTTATCCAATGGTACCCTACATCAATATGCTTAGACCTTCAGTGAAACACTTGGTTCTTGACTAAGCATATAACACTTTGACTGTCACTTTGAATCGCCACCAAGTCTTGAGCTACCCCTAACTCTTTCGCCAATCTTCGCAGGCATATTGCTTCCTTAGAAGCTTCCGTTAGCACCATATACTCTGCTTCAGTAGTAGACAAGGTACAAACTGATTGAGTACCGCTCTCCAACTAATTGGTCCTCCAACACAAGTAAAAACAAACCCCGTAGTAGATCTCCTCTTGTCTAAGTGCCCCATATAATCTGAATCCACATAACCCGACACACATGTCTTTCTTTGTTGTCTTTCAAATAAAATCCTAAACTTCTTAATGTCCTTCAAACACAAGAAAATCCACATCACTGCATTCCAATTTTGTTTGCCTAGATTTTTAATGTATCTTGAGACCACACTCACAGCTTGAGCTAAGTCGAGACATATGCAAACCATTGCATACATGAGACACCCTACTGCGCTTGCATACGGTACCTTACTCATCTCATCCTTCTCCTTGTCATTAGAAGGACTTTATTGGGCACTTAGTCTAAAATGATTTGCCAAAGGAGTAGACACGGGCTTGCAATCCAACATGTTGAATCTTTCAAGTACCTTATATATGTACTTGCCTTATTACAGCCACAACTTGACCAAATTTCGGTCTTTCCTTATCTCCATTCCTAGGATCTTTTGTACGGGACCAAGATCCTTCATGTCAAACTCTTTCTCAAGTAGACTCTTCAACTCTTGGACCTTTGACATATCTTGACATGCAATTAGCATATCATCCACATAGAGTAACAACAAGATGATCGTCCTATCCTTGAACACATGAGAGTACACACAACAATCTGATTCGCATCTTCTATACCCAATCTGCAACATATATGTGTCAAAGCGCTTGTACCACTGTCTTTGAGATTGTTGGAGTCTATACAAAGAGTTCTTCAACCTACAAACTAGATTTCCTTTACTTGCTTCAATGAACCCTTGAGATTGACTCATGCAGATGTCATCCTTTAAATATCCACGGAGGAACGCCATCTTCACATCCATTTGCTCCACCTTCATGTCCTATTGTGTCGTTATGGAGAATAATAACCGTATAGAAGTATGCTTCACTACTGGAGAGAAGATCTCATCATAATCAACTTCTTCCTTTTGTAAGTACCCCTTGCCCACTAGATGAACTTTGAATCTAGTTGGCTTTTTCTCATGTATTCCTTCCTTTTTCCTAAACACCCACTTGCAGCAGATCATCTTCCGATCTTTGGGTTTAGGAATCAACTCCCAAACAGAGTTCCGGTGTAGAGATTCCATCTCATCCATCATAGCACTCATCCAACTTTCCTGCTCTGAACTCTCAACTACTTCTTGGAACGTGGTTGGATCCCCTTCACTCATGTTTAGAGCATAGAGAACTGCATCCATTTCCCCATCCAAACCATTGATGAGGTTTTATGGTTCTCTTGGGCTTGGCCTAGCTATAGATGGTGTGGCTCCACCTGATCTTGAGCCTCTTCTTCTTCTTTATCTTGAGTTTATTGTTGTTTCCCAAATTCTTTCACCTCAGTATCAGACTCCACCACCTCATGAACGTTTTCAATTGACTGCATACTTGGAGTATCCCCGAACACCCTCATACTTGGTGAAATTGTAACGGTTGTCTTTGTTCCAACAACATCATCATTCACCTCCAATTTCTTGACTTTGATCATAGACATGGTCTTTTCATCAAACACAACATCAATACTGAGTATTTTCTTCCAGTTCACTGGATCCCATAACTTGAAACCTTTCACACTGTTCTCAAAGCCGAGGAATATGCACTCAAGAGACTTTGGTTTCAACTTGGTTCTCGTCACTAGGTATGAGATCATAGGCACTACATCCAAATACTTTAAGATTAGTATACTCAATAGATTTATTATACCATACCTCTTTTGCACACTTGAAATCGATATACTTCGATAAAGACTGGTTAATCAAATAGGAAGCCTGGATAACCGCCTCAGCCCAAAATGCCTCGGGCAAGCCATCATGAATCCCCATGCACCTCTCACGCTCCATGAGAGTTCTAGTCATCCACTCCACGACTCCATTTTGTTGAGACGTCTTCTTCATGGTAAAATACCTCTTAACACCCTCGCTCTTGCAAAACTCCAGAAATTTGCTGTCGTTATATTCTCCTCCTTATCTCCATTCTTAGGATCTTGATCTTCCTTCCCATAAGGTTTTGTACTTCTGCCTTCCACTTCTTGAATTCGGTGAAGACCTCAGATCTCTCCTTCATGAAATAGACCCAAACTTTTCTAGAAAAATCATCCAAAAATGTGACGTAGTAGCGAGCTCCACCCAATGATTTGACCGGTGCTAGCCCCCACACATTCGAGTGAATATAATCAAGCACTCTCATGCTCATATTCTCTTGTATTATAGCTTAAATGTCACCTTTGACTGCTTCCCCATGGTACAATATTTGCAGAATTCAAGTTTACAACTGTGTACTCCCTTTAGAAGCTTCTGTTTGTGCAACTCTTGCATTGCTCGCTCACTCATATGCCCTAGCCTTAAATGCCAAAGTTGAGTATCATCATCAAAGTCATTCTTTGTAGATATAGATGCTCCACCAGTCACCGTTGTATCACATAGTCGATACAGGCAGTTAGGTTGAATCTCTCCATTCATTATCACAAGTCAACCCTTTGAGATTATGAGTTTCCCTCCCATGGCCTTGTAGGAATAGTCATTCTTGTCAAAAGTACTAAGGGAGATGAGATTCTTCTTCAACTTTGGTATGTACCTAACCACGCTATCATGCATCTTCACCTTGATTGTACCCGTTCCTTCGACTCTACAGACCGAGCTGTCCCCGATCATAACTTTGCCGCCGTAGTCCACCTCATACGTGTCAAACCAAGATTGTTTGAACTCATATGATATGAGCAGTGGATTGACACTTCCATATGGGCTGACACATCTTACTAATCTCAGGGAATTAACCATTTTCAGCGTGCCTAGATAACTCTAAAAATTCAGAAATAAGGAGAGGATTTCTGTAAAATTCAATGTGTGCCTTCCCTTGTAATTGGAGAACCGTACGACCCACTGATGCAATGAAAGGACAAGTTTTTTATTTTCTTCTTTTCTTCTTCTTTCTTATTTTTGTCATGTTTGCTTCCGCATTTCTAGGTGAAGTGGGTTCTGGGTGTCAAATGTTTAATCTGTCATGTTTGTAGCTGCAGTTGGGACTTGACATTGAAAAAGCAGTGCCACACTTGTGCGACGCTGTGAAAGCTGGCTGACTGGTTGATGAAGTCTTTTGCTCAGGTTTGACTGTTTAAGACATTTGAGCTGGAATCAGCTGAGCTTGTCAGATTGTTACTACTCCTAGGATTTGGGAATTGGAAATTTAATGGTTTGTAGGAATTGAAATACTTTGGAATGGATTTTGCTGTGATTGTTTGATTGGTGGTGTTGTTTATCTTGTGATGTAGACTTGTTTCTTTGTGTTAATGGAAGTATCAGTTTTGAAAGCGAAAAATTCAACTGAAGCAAATTCTATTTTGGAGGGATTATTGCATTCTAGAGCAGGAGCATGATAATGCTGTTAGATATGTAGTTGTCATCATGGACCTGAGCTGCTGAGCTGAGGGCTCCGCGTTGTGAGCTTCAAAATAAGCAAATTTGGGAACGTTAGCTCGAGAAAAAGAGCATCAAAATGTTCATGTTTTGACATCTCTTTTGCTGCATATATAATGTATAGTTCTTACAGGTTTTAGTATCTTGTGACATCTACAACCTTCTGCAAAGTGTTGCAAACTTGACAGTAGAAAGAGGTCGAAATAAGCTGGGAAAACAGTACATACATTACAATATTGTTCCTCATATACGTTGAATCTGGAACATCCTCGCTTAAACACACTTTGTCAACATCAATTCAAGGAACACAAAGAAAGTTCCATTAAACAAAAACGAAAAAGAGATGGCGAAGACAAACAAGACATTGTCCGGCAAGTATATTGGCGATCATTTGAACATGGAAGGAGGCAGCTGTGGAGCAGCAGTTGGTGGCCCAATCCAACCTAAATTATTAATACAAATACAAAATAAAATTTGATGTAGCACCAAATGATGTTGACAACGATAAATTTCAGTCATAATTATACGATGACGAGATATGCGTGTGGTGTAGGATTAGTTTATTAGAACCTTTGGAGGGGTCAAAGCCTCTAGATTTGAGCTCAGCATGTTCTTGGCAGAGGGCACACGGGTCACAGCAGAAATGAACACAACAATCACAACAAGGCTACTCTGGCAGACCAAATTTTTGGCGCAATTTCTCTCTGTACACGCATGAGTAGACCCAATGGCACTGAATCGTGAACAACAACCCGTACACTATGCTATGGGCAACGCAAGCTAAAATTACAAAATCCAACCGCCAATTAGTAACGCAACATTGACCTTATCATCTTAATAATTAAAGTCAGGTGCAGCGGGCGCATGGAGAAATTAACCATTTCATATACAATAACAGTCGCATACATCGATCATTCTCTCACACTAAGTGATTATATTATATGTACAATAGTTTAAAGGGGAAAAATAAATTCGCCATGTTTATAGATTTGGGAAATCTTTTTGGTCTTGATACTTACAACTTCATCCTTCGTCGACAGTTTCCGCGATTTGGCCGAAGGTGATGCATGGGAGAAAGCATGACATGCAACCTACACCACAAGATCAATTTCACCAATTGCTTGGTTGAGTAGATGTATATATGTACAAATTCATAAAAGAAGTGCTAAAAAAATGTTACTGTTGGTATTTTGGAATGAAAAATTAACTTGTCAGGTAACTATAATAGACAAAGTGAATTTTGCCCGGAGAGAGAATTTATATCTTACATGTAGTAACATCTTCTCCAGAGTCACAAAGACCACCCGACCATTTAGACTGCTGAGGGCGATGGCCATATTCAACGTTCATGCTTTCGCAATGCAAACAAATTAATTTTCTTTTCAAATGCAATGCAGAACAAAACCAAGAAAAAATGGTAAGTGCTGGTGGTTATGAGGTTCCCAAGATTTTCTATTTATACACCACAACCCCCCCACCGCAACATCCAACAACATTTGAACAGACAACGTCTTTGGCAGTTCACCTGTGACATTGATTAATTATATATGCTTCTTCTCATGGTAGAGCAGGCCATGTTTTGTTTTATCTTCGAGAAAATTAATGTTAAGTTGACTCATTACTGACAGCCAAGATATCCTCTAAAAAAAGACACTGGCAAGGTCCATATAGATAACAAAAATGAAAAGGAAAAACTCCTTAACGATAAAACAAATCATCAACAGCAACAATGGGAATATGCTAATTGGACTAACAATTAAGTGTTAGAGCAATTGAGTGATAATAAGAATAGGTCAACACAGATGCGTTTGATGCTATCCATATACCTATTTAATTAAGATGTTGGATTACATTATTGGTCACGCGTATTGAGGCAGAGTTTGAATTGACACATATCTATATAATTTGACGCATATAATTTACAACTAGTTCTTTTCATGGCTTCGCCATTTGGTTCCTAGGACTGGGTTGTGCCATTGACATTGTACTTTTTCTTTCATGAGTATCCTCGGTAAACAAAAGTCTACATTGCAGTTCCAATGCTACGCCTTGAACCACTCGTTCAAATTTCATGGAAATAATTGTTAAATAAAAACCAATAAATATGGTAGGGTTGTTTGGTCGAGATGTACAAAAGCAAAAGCTAGATCCACATGGGTAGTAGGTGGACACTTGTCGAAAAATTAGAAAGAAGACATGAAGGGACATGAAAAATGAGGACAGCGGATCCACTCCCATATCTAACATGTAGGACTCTCTACAGCCAAAAGGACCGGCGGACCAATTGGTCTGCTGGGGCTGATAGCTTTAGCATTCATATTTTCACAATAACCAAAAAAAAAATTATGACTTTGTTTCACAAGAGGGATATTCGCTCATGAGAACTTATAGGTCTTAAATAAATATAGGATTAAGACATATATATATATATATATATAGAGAGAGAGAGAGAGAGAGAGAGAGAGAGAGAGAGAGAGATACAAAATCAAATCACCTATAATCACTCATAATTTACAAAAATCAAGGCAGCATGGTTAACTTCTCCCTTTAATCAAGGCAACACGGTAAGCATCCAAAACCCTAGGATGACTCAACCGATATGTATTTATGGGCTAGACATTCTAAATTGGTGGCCCATGACCTATTCCCATGCGCTCAGACTATAATGAGTGGAAAGTTATAAGGGGTTCACTTTATAGCCATCAGATCAATCCAAGGGCTAGGGAGAATTGAGATAAAGTTGTGCAATCGGGTAGGTGAGGAACCCAAACCCGAATTTAATATCCAACATTGAAGTTGGTCCCAAAAAAAAATAAAAAAGAGGCAAGTTCGAAGTTTGAAGAGAAAAAACTCATCACTCTAAAACTCATAGCTCTGAGAAACCGCTAAGCTCTGAGAAACGGTTGAAGGCAACAGTTGAACGCAACTCCGTTCTCTAAACCGTGAAAAAGTATTTATTTTGAGTGGAAGGGGCAAAGGCTTGGATTCCAAAACAGTGAAAGGGCGAAGCAGTGGAAGGGGAAGGAGATAAGTCATATTCGTTGGAAGTGATAGGTTCCATTTGTGGAGCAAAGCTGCACAAAGACCCCGCACAAACACCTTGTGATTGTTCAATAACCAACATTTGGTGAGTAATTTATGGAATTTGAGTTTAGGGTTAGAGTAACGGTTTTCTCCAATTTGTACCATCAATGTTGTTGGATTTGGCATCTCTTCTTTGTGCTTCACTTGCAAGTTAATTTTTGCTTGAGTATATGTTAGAAATCGAATGAAAATCAAGTCAATAACATGTCAATAATGATAGGAATAAGATAATGGTGTTGAATTGGGGTTAGAGTAATGGTTTTCCCCAATTTGTACCATCAATGTTGTTGGATTTGGCATCTCTTCTTTGTGTTTCACTTGCATGTTAATTTTTGCTTGGGTATATGTTAAAAATCGAATGAAAATCAAGTCAATAACATGTTAATAACATGCCAATAACATGTCAATAATGATAGGAATAAGATAATGGTTTTGAATTGGAGGAGGCCCTCAAAACCTTATACATTTGAAGCAATGCAGATTACCTCTCTAGCGCTAGAATTTATATATTTTTTGAAATAAATATTATTTCCTTTGTTACTAAATTTGCCTGTGAAAAATGAGAACATATAATAATAAACTCATGAATAAAAGTGCAAAGCATTTGAAATAAAGGTTGATCTATGACGATTGTGGCTGACTGAAGAAAAAGCTAGAAAGAAATAAGGATGTGGCAATGGCTTAGCAAACAGATAGCAGAGCAGATGCTTTGCTTTGCTTCCTTCCACCAGATTTCTTATTTATTTATTTATTTTGTGTTGTGTATGAGATGACAATAATTGTCATGTGTGTGAAGTGCAGAACTTGCCCAGATTGCACTCATACTCACTCATGCATTAACCATTGATTGGAGTTTGGATCCATAAATAAAACATATGATATTGCTTGTAATTCACAAAATCATTGCATTAACAGGTATTTGCACAAAATTTGCCATATTGCTTTGATGATGTTAAAGCCTGCGATCAGTAATCCCTATGCGCATGAACTTTGTAAAATTTGTAATGTGCCTGGTTGACTAGTTGTGTAAATACCAATATGATTGTGCAAATACGTGGTAGTATATGTGTTCACGTTATTTCATTTTGTATTTTAGGAAATGAGATCCAACATGGAGCTGGTATGGCCAGAGTCAGAGGCATATTCGTCACGGGTGAACAACTGCTCACATGCAAAATCATCCCTAGCTGCAATTTGAGCGAAGTTGACTGCCGAACAATTAGAACAATTCAAGACATCATGCTTTGGCCATCTTCTGAATATATATATATATATATATATATAAGATTCAGTTTAGCGGGCAGATTGTGCATGGGGTTGTGTTGCGTAGAGTAGCAGGGCAGAGTGTGAAGATGGACGAAGTTTCTTAACAGGGTGCGACGTTGCTCAGTTCACTCGTTAGGATTTCTGTTTGATCACAGGGCTTCGTTTTGGGGAAGTGCCTAAAGTTTCCAGTGGAGAAATTGATGAAATTAGACTTCAGAAAAGATATTTTATAGACAAAGGAATTACATGTAATGTTTTAGAAGAAGCATTTCTGAGGTGCACAGAGGAAGATGACATATACAAGCTAGCTCTTGTTTACTTTGTTGAGTTAGTGGTTTTGGGAAGGGACAAGCATTTGAACATCAATCTAAATTACCTGACCTTTGTAGAGGACTTTGATGCATTCAACAGGTATCCGTGGGGTTTGATGTACTTTGACCAACAAAGTATATGAAAAGCTCTGAAAATGAAGAGGGAAAAGGGAAGGGGAAAAGTAAGGTAACGGGAACGAGCCAGAGAAATGAGAAGGGCAAGAAGGATAAGCATGGTGAAGTGCAAAAGGGTGGCTGGAGTTTTAAAGATTTCATGTATGCTTTCCAGGTACATGGTAATAATATTCATGTCAATTATGCTTTGTGGACTTTAAAACTTAAATAATGACTTTTGTCCTGTGAATTGTGTAGATTTGGGTATATGAATTAATTCCTAGAATGACGGACCTTAATTACTGCAAGGTGTTTATCCAACAGCTGTCCCCGCGTATTTTGCGATGGAGAACTACTACGTCTGTTCCCGAGATGAGAAAGTTGAACAATTATTTTTTCCATAGCAAAGAGGTTTGGTTTGCAGCCTTTGAAATTGTTTATAAGATTCAATGAAATTATTAAGTAGAATGATTGAATATGAATCTTGTATGTATTCTGAAACAGTCAGTTCAGTTACAGGCGCTACGTTCGAGTGAAGAGGAAATGAGACAACCATATTGGAGTTGGCCACAGGATCTCCCTGCTGTTGTCTCGGTAGAGTCAATCCCTTCTTCATCTGCTAACCTTGATGAGTTGAACAAGGTGGTAAGCTTGTTGAGGTCCGAGTTGTTTCAAGTAAAGCGGGAAAAGGACGTCATTGAGTTAAAGGTCATATGGATGGAAAAACTTTTAGACCACTATTTAGGTCCTCAGTTTGAGCAGGAAGTAAGGAGGGACCTAGCTTTATTGAAAGAGAGGACGAATCGTTGTGCCATCTCACATCTATTTAAGGGATGTGAGGAAGTGGATAACATTCAATGGGATGAAGGGCCAAGTAATAGAAATGCGGGAGAGGAAAAGGAAGATGAGGGGATTGAAAGGGATGAAGTGCAAAGAAAACCAAGTGAGGTAGAGGAAGCGCAAAGGAAAATAAGTGAGGGAGAGCAAGGGAATATAAAAAGCAGCAAGGGAGAGAAAGCACAAAGAAAGAGTAGTGAGGGAAAGGAAGTGAAAAGAAAAAGCAGTGAGGGAGAGGAACTGCAAAGAAAGAGCAATGAGGGAGATGATCTGCAAAGAAAAAGAAGGGAGGGCAAGGAAGTGAAAAGACAAAGAAGTGAGGAAAAGGAAGTGCAAATAAACCAATGTGAGGAAGAGTGTGGAACCAGTCTTAAACTGCTCCTCCCAGAGTCATTGCAAACACTTTGCACATTAGGGCGTCGTCTGCCTTGTACAGGATCATAGCGCTCTTGAAGTGCCTTAAGTAGCTCTCAGGGTCAGAGTCCTCCTTGAATGGAGTGATGGATGGCATTGTGAACCGCTTCAGCAACGGAGCTCATTCCACCTTGTCGGTAAATGGCGAACAGTCGACTCGATCAATTTCCTTGCGCATGGCCTCCTCTATGCTTCCTTTAAGTTGGAGACTTTGGAGTCGGTCATTTACTAGTTTCTCGACATCTTCTGCCCGTAGGGCTAGAGTCTCAGGCTGACGTCTTCGGGGCCTCGAGCGTGACTGGCTAACTTCTTCCTCTGTTCCCAAAGGTCGATCCCCTTGGGTACCTTGCCCGTGGGGCAGATTAGGAGATTGGGCTTGTGAGGATTCCTCTAAAGCTTGCCGCCGCGTGTTGGTCCACGAGCGGGCTGGTGAGCATCGATCAACATCTTCTGCCTACACGGAGGGTTGCTCGGGTCGACTTCAATTGCCGCTGGCTAACTTCTTCCTCAGCTCTCAAGGGTCGATCCCCTTGGTTGACCTGCCCGTAGGGCCAGATGAGAAGGTTGAGCTTGGGAGGATCCCTCTACAGCTTGCTGCCGCGTGTTGGTCCTCAAGCGGGCTGGTGGGCGTTGATCGTTGCGCTCATCACGCGACTGCTCACAAACTTGAGCTCTTTGTGGGCCCAAGCGGGTGTGGACATTGGACTGTGGGCCTAGCCTCTCGAGCACATTGGTCCTTCTACCTAGCCCCGAACGGCTCAGAGTACAGATTGCAGTTGTCTGCATGTCGTCTACACAATCTCGTCCTCTTCCCTGCCCGTTTGCTCCCGTCTGACCAGCCTGGGACCTCTCAAACTGCTCGCCGGCTTGCTCGTGCATCCTCCTCTCCTTGTCACTAGGTCCAAGGTTAGGGCCTTAATTCAAGTTGATCTGCCCGAGTAGCTGGCCAATCAGGTTGTTTTGATCGTTGACCTTTTGAGTGAGTTGATCAACTCGTGAGTTAAGGTCTACTTGACTGCGCGGGTCAAGTAAAGTGGTGTGCATTGGGCCCAACGGCATATGGGCTAGGGCTCCGTTGGACGTGTACACAGGTGCATACGTCAAGCGTGGTTGTAGATGAGTCAAAGTAGCTGTGGGGCTATGCAACAATTTTGGCAATTGAGTGGTACAACTGATGCTGTGCTCCGATGGCAGGATGGCGCGGCAAAGCAGCTTCGGCAATTTGCGCTTGCGGCTGCAAGGATGTGGAGATCACGGGGTCATGTGGTGGCTGTTCTGCAATTCCAGCAGCTGAAGGTGGCTGCAAGGCACTAGGAGACGACTGCAAGGCGTGGCAGCCACGATTTCGTGCGGTTGCGTTGAGGTTTCCACCATGAATCCGTGAGACGGGTCCACTGTGGTGATGTGACTCTTCGTATGTCTTGTATCAACCATGGTTGTTTGAAAAAATGTATTGAAAATGGATTTGGAGCACGTTTTGAGTATTATTTCTCGCTCTTAATGAAAGCACCAATTTGTGGGAGCGATTTTCGTCCCACTAGAATATTCGCCTAAGATTCCTTCGTCTTCTCCGTTTCTCTTTCTCCCTGCAAAACAGATTGGAGTAAAAGGACCACACTCGGGGGGTATTGGCCAAAGGTTCTCCGATGCCTAAATTAGGTAAGGTGTTTCAAGGAAACCGGGTGGCCGGAGCCGCGTGTGGAGGCCGGAGCCTTGTGTGAGAGAGAGAAAGAAAATGGCGGAGAAGGGTTTGTGAGGGATAACTTATGTGGAATTTCAGTAGGAATTCAAACGTACCTCAATCCTTGTGTGTAGCCAAGTATTTATAGGGAGCCTCAGCGAGGTTGGTGTCTTTAAGGATTAGGGATTTAACCAAATCCCTAATTAAGGTGATGCTCAAATACATCCAATTTGAATTATGTAACCTCCTAATTAATTCGAGTAACTCCCAATTCGGTTAGGTACTTCCCAATTATGTCAAATAATCCCAAATTGATTTGCCTAATTATTTGTCCTAGGGTGAGATATTTTGCTTCCACACATAGCATGGCTGAGGCAGTTGTTTCGTTTGTGCTCGAAAGGGTCCAAGACTTCGCCACTCAGGAAGCCAAGTTCTTGTCTGGAGTGAGCCACCAAGTTGAGGTTGCACAAACTGAGCTACAATTGATGCAGGGCTTCCTCAAAGATGCAGATGCAATACAAGGACAAGATGCAACAGTACAAGTTTGGGTTGCCAAAACTAGAGATGTTGCTTATGATTTGGAACATGTTTTTGAAACCTATGGCTTGAAAGTGGCTTCCAAGAAGAACAGGGGCATCAAGAATATTCTCAGAAGATTTGCCTAAATCTTCAAGGAAGGGGTTGATGTTCGAAAGATTGGGTTAAAAATTGAGAACATTACTGCCAAAATTTCTAATTTGAGATTAAGTTTGCAAAGTTATAATATTGCAAGGGTACCAACAGAGATTGGAGGTGAATCTTTCTTACAATTGCATGAGAGGCAACGACTACTAAGGCGAACTTATTCTCATGTTATTGAACGTGATGTTGTTGGATTAGAGTACAACCTTGAAGAATTGGTTATGCATTTAGTAAAAGATGAAAATCGTCATTGAGTGGTATCTATTTTGGGGATGGATGGTTTAGGGAAGACCACCCTTGCAAGACAGGTTTATCATCATAAAATTGTTAGGCAACATTTTCATAGTTTTGCTTGGGTGTGTGTATCTCAACGGTGTGAAATAAGAAATGTTTGGGAAGGAATTTTCATTAAACTCATTTCTGCTACCAAAGAACAAAGACAAGATATTAAGGGAATGACATATGATGAAATAGCAAAGAAGTTTTTTTGTGTCATGCAAGAAATGAGATGTTTGGTGATACTTGATGACATTTGGAGTTTCGAGACATGGAATTTTTTGAATGTTGCATTTCCAAATGAGAAAACAGAGAGCACAATATTACTTACGACACGCTATGAAGCAGTCGCTTTGCCCCCAAATAGAAATTGTTTCCTCCACAAACTCCAGCCACTAAATGAGAATGAGAGTTTGGCACTATTAGAGAAGATAGCAATATTTGGAAGGCCTGATATCGGTATTTTCTCACCCTCAATATATATATATATATATATATATATATATTCTATTATTATTCATATAGGGGCCAAGAGATTCCAAATTTTGGAAGGCCCTATATCTGATGATAGAAAGGTTTTTATATATATATTTTTCCTAAGAATTTTTGGGAGTTTACAGTTTTCAAAATATTGTCAAGCACTTGGAAAAAGGGGTGGGCATCAATTTGGTCGAACCAACTAAATTGGCCGATTCAAACCGTAATTATCGATTTTGTTTGATTTTTTATAAGATCATTTCAAACGGTTTTAAAATCAAATCGAACGGTAAATAGTTCAGTTTGGTATGTAGCTTTTGCAATTTGGCCGAAATCAAACCAAACCATCTACTTGGATATTTATTTATTTATATTTTATTATGCACGTGTTGCCATCTCATTGGATAATAACTAGATATAGATGTTGAATATTTGAAGTTTGATGTGGAACTTTGAATTTATTGATATTTGAATACATGTGCATAATAAAACATCTATATCTCATCGAGACAACAAAGACATAGTCTAGGGGAAACAATGGAGAATATAGCGCACAATTGCTTAACTGAGTTGGTGGAAAGGTGTGTGGTTCAAGTGGGAAGAAGCGGTTCAACTGGGACAATTAAAACGTGTCAGATCCATGACCTTATAAGAGACTTGTGTTTGTTAAAGGCATAAGAGGAAAGCTTTCTCCAGATTGGCTATTCTTTGCAGGAAAATAAGGCAATTAATCCTGTTACTTCTTCTATGGTAGCCAAGGCAACACCAGTGGGGCAAATTCAAAGTCTTACAATCTACTTGCAAGCAGTAACCTGAAGCGATCTACTCTTGGCCATTTACAGACCTTAGATTTTCTTTCAAGTGAGTATTGTGATTTGAATGATGTTGCTGGATTAACCAATCTCCTAAAACTGTAGATAAGATTGTCACTTCCCTTGGAAAATCTGTAGTAAATTTTCAAATCTGTAGGCAGCGTGCTTAATCGTATCCAGAGGAGATCAAGTTGTCGTCGTTTTGAGACTACCAAATGGGAATACTAGAGAATCTGCCAAACCTAACAACTCTGCTCCTTATAAGTGAAGTTTTTGAGGAGGATACAAAGATACTAGTATGTCAGATCTTTCCCTTGTCATGTGGACAACAATTCCATAAGCTATAGGAATTTATTTGTAGTTGATCATGTTAACAAGTTATAATTGTTTGGGCCAAAATTCTACACACTAAGCCCAACGCTGGAGGCCTAGAAAGACGAAGCAATATCAAAATCCAAGCAGTTTGGACCTTTTTTTGTTTAAATTTGAATCAAGAGCCCAAAATTGGGAAAACCCAGCCGAGGACCTGTCAACCCACGAGAATAAACTTGGGCTTTGGAAAAACAGAGAAAAGAAATCAGCCCACAATCCCAAAACTCAACTTGGGCTTAGCATGATCAAATGAAAAGAGAAAAACTCAAAATAGAAGCAAACCCACGTGACTACCTGACTTTGAAAAGTCAGCAATTTCAACTAGATTGATAGGGAGTTAATAAAGGTAGGTCTTAAACAGGCAAAAGTCTCCAGCCTTTTCAGTCAAAAGAAGATCAGAGTCCCTTTCTATATAAATTCTGCATCATGACATGCATCATTTCCAAGGGATAAGCAGACTATATTTTCTAAAGAGATAAGTAGGGTGCAGGGAGTTGTTCATTTGGAAAATCAAATTAACCATCATGGTAGATTGAACACTTACAAAGAGGAGTTAAAGGTCAAAAAGAGATTAGGTTTTCTTTCAAAAAGGAGAGAGGTGATCACCATAAAGAACTGACTGTTGATGGTTCTTCTCTGCAAGAACAAATAACTTCCCTTTTTCAGTCAGTAATCATCAAATCCAGCCACTTCTGCCCATTCTAGACTGAAGAGGTCCCAATTCTGCCCGTTCAAAAAGCCTTCTAAGGCTTGAAATAGATTAAAGCTCTCCCACACTCGAACATTGATATCGATTTATGGTTGGAACTTGATAGCTGAAGGTGTTGATAGTTCAATCCAGCACAGACATACCCAGTCCACCCCGAATCAGAAGCATCTATCCAAGCAGAAATTGAGGTCCATCGCTCTTTTCGTCTTTTTAGAGTTGGTCTTTCCTTTTTGAGTTTTGTAAAAGGCAGTTCTGTCTGAAAATAGTCACTTTTTAATCATTTATTTTGGCCAAAACTACCAGTTTTGTACTGTGAAAAATTGTGAAGTCTTCACCAGTTTGAGGCAAGAAAAGAACTTACTTGTGAGATATTCCTCACCCAAATTCACAATCGCTTGTTTAGAAATCAGTAACTTGGGGTGCATTTTATTTTTTTTTAAGAAATCTGCTAGGATTTTCATTGCTAGCAGTGGCACGCTCGCACACAAAAGAAAGTTCACTTGTTGACCAGTCAATGGTTTTCAAGACAATGGGAACTTTACCCTACCATCACAGAAACAAATCTAAAATGGGTGAACAATAATAATACTTTTTTACTCCTTAATCCAGTTGATGTGAAATGTATGCGAACACAAAACAAACAACGGCACATTGGATCTGGAACATCCTCGCTTATTCACGCACTTTATCAACATCAATATATATATTCATACAACACAAAGCAAATTCCATCAAACAAAAACAAAAAAGACATAGAGAAGACGAACACGACATAATTGTCTGCCAAGTATATTGGCGATCATTTGGTCATGGAAGGAGGCACCTGTGGAGCAGCAGTTGGTGACCCATTCCAACCTACATCATAAAAACAAATACAAAATATAAATTGAAGTACCGCCGAATGATGTAAATAATGTTAAATTTAAGGTCATAACTGTACGATGACGACATATATGTGTGGTGTAGGATTAGTTTAAAACCTTTGGAGGGGTCGAAGCCTCTAGATTTGAGCTCAGCATGTTCTTGGCAGAGGGCAAACGATTCACAGCAGTAATGAACACCACAATCAGTGCAAGGCTCCTCCGGCAGACCAAATTTTTTGCGCAATTTCTTTCTATACATGCATGAGTAGACCCACTGGCACGAAATCGTCATCAAGAACCCGTACACTATGCCATGGTAAAGGCAAGCTAAAATTACAAAATCCAACCATTAGTAACACACCATTGACCTAATCATCTTAATAATTAAAGTCAGGCATACTCGGTGCAAGGAGAAGTTAACTTTTCCATATACAATAGTCTATGCATCGCAACCGTTCTCTCACACTAAATGTTCACGTGATTATTATTAGAGAACTAAATGTGAGAGACTAGTTATATATACAACTACTTTGAGGGAAAAATAATAAATTCGCCATGTTTGTAGATTTGGGAAATCTTTTTGGTCTTGTGACACTTACAATGTTGTCCTTCGTCGACAATTTCTGCGATTTGGCCAAAGGTGACGCATGGGAAACACCATGTGATGAAACCTACACCACAAGATCAATTTCACCAAATGGGTGGGTTGAGTAGATATATATTTATAAAAGAAGTGCTAAAAAATGTTACTTGGTATAAATTTAACTTGACATGTAACTATAATAGACAAAGTGAATTTTGGCCGCAGAGTGAATTTATATCTTACATGTAGATTTATCTTCTACACAGCTACAAAGACCATGCGACCACTGCTGAGGTGGATGACCATGATCAACGTTCATGGTTTTCTTTTATGAGATCAAAATTCGACAAGCAAAAAAAGATTGCTGGAAAAATGGAAAAGTTCTCGAAAAATGTGCAAGTGCCTTGCTTGACAATGAATCAGTTCAATGATTTATATAGACTTACAAAGCATCAATACAAATGGTTTATGTCCACTTACAAAGAATGCGTGTATGCCGGGTAAGACCCTAGACTAAGGAGTGTATACTGGGTAAGACCCTAGACTAAGGAGTGTTTACTTGGTAAGACCCTAGACTAGACGAAACCCTAGAGGACAAAGATTATCCTTATCCACTTACAGCTGGAACGCTATTATAGGCGGTCCTTATTTCGCTACGCAAACATGCATGTTGTGATATCTTTAAGTTCTACAACGTGTTTAGACCAGTTAGTGTAGTCTGTTACTTGGGGCTTTGGTCCTTATTTGCCTCTGGTAATAATACTTTCTTGTTTGATATCTCTCTTATCACCTCCTGCATGCAAAACTAAATGTAAGTTTAAGAGTTGTAGTAAACAACTTTCATCATACTATTGTTGGACACGTCACCTTATTATAGTCAACCTAGAAGCACTATCACCTAGTGAGTTGTCATCTCCTTGTCATCTCCTGCTTATAGCTTATTTCAATTGGTGGTGGTGCACTCCAGGTGTACAGATTATCTTATTTCAATTTTCAATATTTAAGTAAATGTCTTTGTCCTTTTACTGTCATTTACTTTTTATATTGCTCCATTTATTTAAGTTTACAATGTACATAAGGAAGTACCCCCTATTTGGATTCAAATAAAAATACTAGACAATCAAATTCCCACCGAATCAAAATATGAAAAATCAGTTTTAATGCAAAATATGATTTATGCTAAAAATTATGGCTCATTAAGTCAATATATACTTTATACTAAAATCCCATAAAATCAAGTTTTCTTATTTGATGTGTAAGGAGTAAAAGCCGCCAAAAATTATCTTGAGAAAATTATTATTTTGAAAAACCATTTTTCATACTTAGTCAATATTTTTACATAAAGTATTTTTTTCATATATAATATGAATGCATGAAGGGACCTAAATTTTTTTTAGTTTGTGAAATTTTGATTTTTTCTTTCTATCGGGTTTAATGGGGGAAAAAACTCTAAAAATATTTGCTAAATCGCTACTCTTTGTCTATTACTCACGATTTTTCTTACTTAAAATGTATTTGTCTATCTCTTTATCGTGGATAATTATGATTGCAACCAATAAGCAATATAATTCTTTACATGTGTATATATATATATACTATTTTTCGTATGTATTGTGACTTCGAACTTTTGATCCTTTATAATTTGTAAGAGACCCACACACACATGAAATCCTAGCTTCACCATTGTTACTATTGGCGGACGTCAAGGTTGACAGCGTCAGCACATGTAAATTCAATTTTTTTTTCACGTTAGCACACACCAACAGTAAAAAAAAAAATTTAACCCAGGCACTGACGTCAGCTGCCTTTGAGCTCGGGCTAGTTTTGCCTGCGGGTTGGCCCGAGTCCTGCCCTGGTTGGGGGCAACCGGTGAAAGGGCTCTAAGAGAGAGAGAGAGAGAGAAGAAAAGAAATGTGGGAAAGACAAAGTGAGAGTGATGGAAGGAAATAGAGATCTTTGCTTGTGTTTTACTAATTTGGAGATATGCTTTGGAATCGAGATTAGGGGTTTTTGAGAGAGCTTTTATAAAAATTGATTTAATTAAATTTCGTGAGAACAAGGATCACCATAGAATATAATCTTTTCAGTTAAAGAATTATTCAGATTAGGGGCCAGAAACAAGGATCACCATAGAATAGAAACTTTTCTTTTGCACACTGGAGGAATTTTTGTAACACCCCGACCCCAAATTTATCCCATGTTTTAATTTATTTAAGTGGAATTGAGAAATTACCCGTGGGATAGGGGTATTTTAGTCATTTTCTTACCCCCGGAAGGAATTTGAGAATTCCGGTTGTACCGTTGCGTAGAGCACGGTGAGATGAGTCCGTAGACACGTAGTGGGCTCGAATCGGAGTTGTAACAAGAGAGATATGATCAAAAGAAGCTCAGTGGCATAATCGTAAATATTTGGAAAATGGATTTTTGGTTAAAAGACGGAATTGCCCCCGTCTCTCATACACTCTCTCTCTCCCGCGCGTCGCTCTCTCTCTCCTCTGGTTCGCGACTGCTGAAACAGCCGGTCACGTTTTGGCCGGCCGTGCTCTCGTCCGGCCACCAAAGTTGACGGGGCCGGTACCAAAATGACCGGGCCGCCGTCCTCTTCCTACCCCGGCCAGGTCCCGTCGCCAGCCGCCGTGATTTCGCCGGAAAACGAGGAGAAAAGCTCCGGTTTTGACAGAAAATTCGCCGGCTTCGTTCTCCGTCGTCCGGCCACCGATTCCGGCAAGTGAGGTATGGTTTCTCACCTATTTTCTGAGCTCTAGCTGCCTGTTGGGTAGGAATTGATCAATTTGTAGCGTAAGTAGCTCGATCTACGAATTGAAATTCGGCCGGTTTCGGGATCGCGATTCCGGCTACTTCCGGTCAGTTTTTGGGGTACGTCCAAGAACAAAAGTGACTCCAAATTAGGTGTTTTACCTAGGGTAGGAGTCTTGAGCCGTGATTTGTGGTTTTTCCGGCGATGGGTTATCGCTTTGGACACCCACGCTCTGCCGGCGCGTGGGCGGTGCGTGGGCACTGTAGCTGAGGGGGATTTTTGTCCCAATGGGATCCTCAGGTTGTCATGAGCGCGTAGGTGCGCTTGGATCTCAATTTGGATATCGTTAGAGTCCCGAACGGATATCGCATATCGCGTATTTTCCGGGTTCGCTAGGTTTGGACCGTTGGATGGTCCTGAAGTTATATTATGTTGATCTAAGTATTACCAGGATCGTGTAGGATTTGACGGATCGTAAAACGGAGTCCCGGATACTCCGGAAATGCCAACCCTGGGGTTAGGGTTTTAGTAATCGTCCGATTGTGTGATCGTGAGCGATCAGACTGTCCGATCTGGACCAAACTTGCAGGACATGTGTCCTAGAGCCTATAGAACCTATAGGAACTTTCGGATCGGAATTTGGAGGTTGTGGGCCCCGCAGGCCCGTTTGACCCTAGGTTGACTGTGAGACTCCCGAGATAGTCTTACCTTTCCTTGAGGGTTAGGATGACCTTAGTGACAGGTCTTGAGCGTTGTTGAGTTAAATGGATATTGTGGGTTTAGGATATAAATTGGTGAATTTAAATGGGGGAGTTTATGGAATGTTTTATTGGTTGATGTTATTGTATGATTAGAAATTATATGATATATTTAATTAATTGTGTGGATGTGTAATGATATATAAAGAGATTGAATGTTAGTTTACAGTGCTATACGCATTACCCCTCGTACCCCCATATTGTGATTATGTTCAGGCCCAAGTGACAGTAAGATGGCTGGTGAGAATGTAGCCAGGCCCAAGTGATAGTATGATGGCTGGTGAGAATGTAGCCAGGCCCAGTGTGAGGTCGCACGCGTCTTTGGATTAGCCGGCGTGTTGACAGACCCCATACGTGGTCGGGTACGTCCCGACGTATGAGGGGAGATATGATTGTGTGATGGCTGGTGAGAATGTAGCCAGGCCAGGGCTGGTGAGAATGTAGCCAGGCCCAGTGTGAGGTCGCACGCGTCTTTGGATTAGCCGGCGTGTTGACAGACCCCATACGTGGCCGGGTGCGTCCCGACGTATGAGGGGAGATATGATTGTGTGATGGCTGGTGAGAATGAGGGCTGGTGAGGACCCAGTGTGAGGTCGCACGCGTCTTTGGATTAGCCGGCGTGTTGACAGACCCCATACGTGGCCGGGTACGTCCCGACGTATGAGGGGAGATATGATTGTGTGAGGGCTGGTGAGAATGTAGCCAGGCCTAGTGTGAGGTTGCACGCGTCTTTGGATTAGCCGGCGTGTTGACAGACCCCATACGTGGCCGGGTACGTCCCGACGTATGAGGGGAGATATGATTGTGTGAGGGCTGGTAAGAATGTAGCCAGGCCTAGTGTGAGGTCGCACACGTCTTTGGATTAGCCGGCGTGTTGACAGACCCCATACGTGGCCAGGTGCGTCCCGACGTATGAGGGGAGATATGATTGTGTGATGGCGGGTGAGAATGTAGCCAGGCCCGGTGTGAGGTCGCACGCGTCTTTGGATTAGCCGGCGTGTTGACAGACCCCATACGTGGCCGGGTGCGTCCCGACGTATGAGGGGAGATATGATTGTGTGATGGCTGGTGAGAATGTAGCCAGGCCCAGTGTGAGGTCGCACGCGTCTTTGGATTAGCCGGCGTGTTGACAGACCCCATACGTGGCCGGGTGCGTCCCGACGTATGAGGGGAGATATGATTGTGTGAGGGATGGTGAGAATGTAGCCAGGCCCCCAGTGTGAGGTAGCACGCGTCTTTGGATTAGCCGATGTGTAGACAGACCCCATACGAGGCCGGGTGCGTCCCGTCGTATGAAGGGAGCTATGTGATTGTGTTTGGTGTGTTGTGATGGATAAACCCTAGAATGTATGAATTTATATGGATGTAATGGTTTATTTGATATCAGGAGCCAGGATTGATAGGAAAGAGCTACGTGTGGCTTGATCCCTTTGTAGGGTACGTAGGCAGCCTGGGATAGCGCCTAGGTGCACCCACGACCTAGACACCACTTAGGTGGTTTTATCGAGTATGATGCGGACCTCGTGGTTGGTCCCGAAACTTGGTTGAATTGAGGCTTGTTCGGTGGACTGAGTGAGCGAAGGTGTGCATAGATAGATTTCGAATTGGTTATGTGCATGTTTGATGCATTAAGTTATTTTGAAAACAGTGTGGGCAGTTCTGCTAGAATCATTTGAAGGCCGGAGGCCATTTATGTAAATTGCATGAGATTATATTGTGCGTGCTGCTGGTTGGGTTATAAAATGTGTTTTATGTAGGTGGAAATTTTGGGGAATGTTCAATTTACAGGGGAGACTCTGCCGAAAGTTTGGCAGAAAGTCTTGTGCCCTAAATCCTCTCTGGTAAAAGAGGACATAGTTTTAAGGAGTGAACCCGGCGTGGGTGCGATGCCGGGGTTTCCGCAGGGTTCGTCTCGGGTTCCGGGAAATTCGGGGCGGGTCCTGTCAATTTTCATCTCTATTAGAAGATGGAAAAACACATTTTCCTTATAATTCTAAATACAACATGCATTGCATTCGTATAGCTCTATTGTCTTCTTCGGTAAAATTATTGGGGACGACTGACTTATATGCAATTATTGCATTGAACAAGTAATTGAGGCGGTCATAAAACGACAAAGCTGACATGTTACTTGAAATTGACTTGATTGGTTGGAATTCATACATAAACGAAGGAGTAGGGAGAAGATTTCACTCATCAATCTAGAGGTTTACGTTGGCATGAGCCATAATTCAGGGATCTAGTGATTCTTAATTTTTTGATGTAATTCATGTTACCCAATTAGAATTATTACCTAGTTAGAATTCCTTATAATTAGCTAATTACTTTTCCTTGTAGGAAAAGTCAACTTGTACTTGTTTATATATCTTCCTCTTGGAGAAATATAATATCAATTACAATTATTCAATCCTGCATTTAGTTTGAGTTGGTATTAGAGCCGATTAATCCTGGTCTCTTATAAAAATAAAAAAAAACCTTAGCTGCTGCAAAACAACAGCTAAGCCTTTGTCGTCACAAACCTAGTGCGGCAAAAGATTCCTACAACACCAATCCATCCAAACTTGTTCTCTCTCCTGCATGGCTTTCGAAGTTACCCTAGACAACCCCACCGCAGTAGCAAAATCCAGTGCTTCAGGAACCCTAAAAAGTCTGGCCTTGACGCAACCAATTGTTACAGTTCTCAATAATATTTCGCTGCCTCATTTACTATACAGTTGAATGGAAAGAACTATAGTACTTGGTCAAAGATGATGTTGCCTCATGTGTCAAACCAAGGAAAAAGAGGTTGATTCATGGTGTATTAAGGACTCCATTGTTAAAGGATGGTTGAAAAAAATCATGGAACCTGATTTAGTATACTTATTCTTAGATCTACCAACAGCCAAAGATGTTTGGGAGAGTACAACCCATATGTATTATGACGCAACTGATGAGTCACAGATTTATGAATTACAGTGTAAACAAACCCGTATTACTCAAGGAGGTCGTGATATTGCATCTTACTTTGCTGAGCTCAAGAGCATTTGGTTGGAACTAGACCGTCGTCCTCCAATCAACACGAAGTGCCTTGATGATGTGAAGATTCGACATGTCGAGATACAAAAAGACAGTATTTATGATTTTCTTACTGGTCTAGATGATGAGTTTGATAAAATTAGAGGAGATTTGTTGAGGTTGAGTCCATTGCCAAAATTAGAAGATTCGTTTGCTTTTGTTCATAAAGAGGCCCAACGCCTAGAGACGATGCCCAAGAAGGATGGAAAGACTTAATCCTCTGCTGTCATGATTTCCAAAGCCCTTGCTACTAGTTTTTCTTTTCCCCGACCAACCCCTGAGCAAAAAGAAAACATGCATTGCACTTACTGTAATGGGAACTGTCATACAGAGGTCATGTGTTTTCACAATAATGGGTTTTCGGGATGGTAAGATTATTTTGCTGATAATCTATACCAATGGTATGGTAGTTACTGGTGATGATATTGTTGAAATAGATAAATTACAGAAGTGCTTAGCCTCAGAGTTTGAGATGAAGGACTTGGGGGCTTTGAAGTATTTTCTGGGAGTCGAAGTAACTCGCTCTCCTACTAGTATCATCACCAATAATTAATCATGATCAAGTTCCAACCAAGAAGGAGAGATATCAGAGGTGTGTGTGTGTGTGTGTGTGTGTGTGTGTGTGTGGTGTGTGTGTGTGTGTGTGTGTGTGTGAAACCCCCATCCCCCTTGTAGTTTAGACTATTGCTATTATTTTTTTTGTTAAAAAAAGACACACTAGTTCATAGTTCAATTGACTAATTTTCAAGTTTTTCATTCTTATATAAGCGATATTGGATGAGGGGGAAATCAAACTTAGGACCTTGAGTGCAAAGCTTAATGTTAATTTCCAATAAACTTTAACTTAAAACAAATACATATTAAATACAACCAAAAAACTAATATTATCAAAATGAAAATATTTTCAATAACATAATTGAAAGTGTGCTTATTTTAATGCGTATGCTTATGATGCTCTGCAACTAAATTCATAGAAACTTCAATTTTTTTGGACTTTAATAGGTTAGTACATATTGGGTTATATATAAAACAAGTTATATATATATATATATATATATATAAACACACACACACACACACACGGTTTATATATATTTCACTAATCCAAACGGTTTATTTTTTAGATAGTCATTCAAAGATCATCCCTACAAAAAAATTACTTGCATCCAATATTATTTGACCACTCAATTGAGTTATTGAAATTTTAGTACTTTCTTGAAGCACTGTGTTCATTAACTTAACAAATGGATGGTTTGAATCGTTGAAAAAAAATTCTTAGGGGACCCTAAAGGGAGTCCCTCAAATAAAAGGGGACTATATATAATTCTTGCATCTACATCTTTGAGGGATTCCTCAATAGAATTGGACTATATATATATATATATATATATATATTTGATTTTTTTATCTCCAAAATCTCCCTGGGCTACAGCCTAAGATAGCCCTAGGAGTAGCTCTGCCCATGACGGCAATAAGATGTTGGCTTTGTTAATGCGGGATTACCACAGTGGTTGTGGCCCTCCCCTTCCCCCTAGCCTGGGGTTTCTTTCCTACCAATGTTAAAAATAAATAAATAAATAAGATGTTGGCTATTTATTGCTTCTAGTCTCCAAAATCTCTTTGTTTCCATAGTTGAATATTCAATTGCCAGAAAGAGCAAACACCAATATAGACTAGAAACTTTCCATTTGAATATTGGAGAGGAATTTTCATATATGTTAGTTAGAAGATGGAAAAAGACTTTTTTTTTAATATTCTAAACATAGACAAGTTTTATATCTGGGTTTTTATTATTATTTTGTACCCGTTTACACTTTTTATTTTTATTTTTTATAAGAATAAGCGATAGGTTAAATCTAAGTATTCATTCTACATAGAATAAGCGACAGGCCATGTCACAGTTGTGTTAGGATGAAAGAATTATTTAACAAAGAAGTTAAGCTTCCATTAATTGTTGGATGATAAGTTGCATTCTTCGGGGAAATTATTGGAGACGACTGACTTAGTCGTTAAACGTACAATACTTGAGGTGGTTAGGAAACGACAAAGCTAAGTTATTGTTGGGTTGAAACTTGAAATTTGACTTTTTTTCTCTTTTTTTTAAGAAAAGGAATAGCTACTGAATTGTTGTACTTTTTTATCTTGGTGACACTGGCGCGGAGGTTCTCCAGCTCTACCTGGAGATTGGCATCTGCTGAAGGTTTCCTTCAGCAGGTACCCTCACCGGGGGTATGGTGCTGAGTATCTTGGCTATCCTCGGTCGGCATAGTAGAATGTGGAGTGAAGAAGAGGCGACGAGGCCGGATAGGAGAAGGAGCCAGTTGGGCTTGTAGATAAAAATGGGATTCAAGTATTGATTCCCACTGACAACGGCAAACTATTGATGCTCTTTTTTGGAGAGGGTCAACTTAGAGAAAAGGGGGTTTGTCTTCAGCAGTGGAGAAGGTGATGACCTTCTGTAAGGGTTGAGCCTGAAGAACACAAAGTAGGAGAAGCAATCGTTAAGCTTCGGACACCGGTGTGGTGCCGGACGAAGGCTCTCCGATACTTAAGTCAACTAAGAGCAGTAACTTTAGCAGAATAATAGTAAAAGGTCAGAAAGTAGTTACCCTTTTTACTAGAGTACTGTTCCCTATTTACAGGGAAGTGAAAGTGGGAGGTTTGTGTAGAATTCCGATGTGGGACTTTGTGCAAGTCGCTGTGGTGGTGACACGTGTCTTGGATATTAGGTTTGGCAGTTTGAGAGCTTCAGCGGTCGGGAGCTTCGGCAGGTGTCTGGCACCTTGGAAGAGTGTCTTCCTTCGGCATGAGAGAAGGCGTGTTTGCCTTGGTGCTAGTCTTTTTGAGGCTGAATATGCTCGGATGATTATGGTGTAAACAAGTTGGACTGATGGCACTTGGGAGTTTGGATGGAATTCATACATAGACGAAAAAGTGCAGAGAAGATTTCACTGGTCAATTTGAAAATTGAATCTAGAGGTTAAGAAGGAGAGCATAGAATGGCTGAGGCAGTTGTTTCGTTTGTGCTCGAAAGGGTCGGAGACTTCGCCACTCAGGAAGCCAAGTTCTTGTCTGGAGTGAGCCATCAAGTTGAGGTTGCACAAACTGAGCTACAATTGATGCAGGGCTTCCTCAAAGATGCACATGTAAAACAAGGACAAGATGCAATAGTACAATTTTGGGTTGCCAAAACTAGAGATGCTGCTTATGACTTGGAAGATGTTATTGAAACTTATGGCTTGAAAGTGGCTTCCAAGAAGAAAAGGGGCATCAAGAATATTCTCAGAAGATTTGCCTGCATTATTATCTTTTATTTGTTATGTGATTGCATGTCACTTAATTCAGTTATATCAATTTACTGTGGAAAATTTTATGTCCCTACTGAGCTGTGGTTTCGCTCACCCCTTTATAGACCTTGGAGTTGTAAAACCCAAAAGACGGGTGGTAGGCGAGCCAAGGTTGAATTAGATAAGAGTGATAGAACTTTATTTATTTCTTGTACTCTTGTATGATTTTGGAGTTATTTTTATAAGAAAAGTTTATTTTAAACACTATTTTGACCTTTATCTTTACTTTTTAATGTACAGGACATGGGGTTTTTTTTCTAACGTACCCCAAGGCCGGGGTGTGACAGAATGACACCATCTCTTAAGCACATAGAGCGTGGGGTTTTTTTTCCATCATATCCCGAGTTAGGGCGTGACACTTTATGATTGTGCTAATAATTGTTAACAGGGCGTTTGTTAAGTGAGTAATTAAACAAACAAAAAAATTGTTAGCAGGGCCTTTGTCTGCCAAAGTATATATATTCAAGATCACTTGTGCATGGATACCTGTGGAGCAGAAGTTGGTGGCCCAATGATCCAACCTAAATTTTACATACAAAAACAAAATAAAAGCGTTAACTGTAATTAGGACCAAATGATGTTGATGATAATGATATAAAATTGATAATTAAGGCTCATAATAACTTGATGATTGTGCTAATATAGGGTTTAGATTAGAACCTCTGCACAATCTTTTCTAGTTCAGATCTATTGTCCAGATCTAGCTCCGCCTTACTATGTCTAGTCATGCCTTGCAATGCCTCTTCATGCCTTGCCCGCGCTAAACGTGCAACTCACGAAACAGCCGACCACCTTAGGCAATTACCTGCCGTCTCGCTTCGACGCGCGTGCCGATGCGCGCAAAGGCATGCCTTTAAAAACACTTATATAGATAACAAAAATAAAAAGGAAAAAAATCATTAACGATAAAACAAATCATCAACAGCAACAATGGGAATGTGCTAATTTGAAAAATTAAGTGTTAGAGCAATTGAGTGATAATAAGAATAGGTCAACACGGATACGTTTGATGCTATCCATATACCTGTTTAAATAAGATGTTGGATTACATTATTGATCACGCGTATTGAGTCAGAGTTTGAATTGACACATATCTATATACTTCGACGCATTTAATTTACAACTAATTATTTTCATGGCTTTGTCATTTGGTTCCTAGGATTGGGTTGTGCCACAGACATTTTTACTTTTTATTCTATGAGTTCAAATTTCATGGAAATAATTGTTAAAGAAAAACCAATAAATATGGTCGGGTTTGTTTGGTCGAGGTGTACAAAAGCAAAACCTCGATCCACATGGGTAGTAGGTGGGCACTTGTCAAAATTAAAAAGGAGACATGAAGGGACATGAAAAATAGGGACAGCGGATCTGCTCCCATATCTTACATGTACGATTCTCTACAGCCAAAAGGACCGGCTGACCAATTGGTCTGCTGGGGGTGATAGCTTTAGCATTCATATTTTCAGCTTCGGGAAGGGAACCTTGAAGTATGAAGAGGTCATGCAAGACATCCTGACGCATGACATAATGTTTCAACATCCCGGAGGTATCTCTCAAGGTGAAGGTGTTATAGCAAAGTCTGGAGAGAGAGGTCGATTGAGGAATATCAAAATCCAAGGCGAAAGACGATTGCTTTAAGTGTAGGTCAAAACATAATTGGAAGAAGAATTGTCCTACCTGAAGAGAAAAGAAACAAAGGGAAGAAGACGGATGAAGCCTGAGTCCCCTTCTATTGAGGGACATCTTTTAGGGTCCCCTACGAAAATTTTTCCAACGATCCAAACCGTCTATTTTTAAGTCTACTTTCATAGATCATCCTTGCAAAAAATTAGACAAATCGGAAACCGTTTCGATATCCAATTGTGTCCTACAAAATGAATGAACATGATGCTTCAAGAAAGTACTAAAATTTCAATAATTCAATTGAATGGTCAAATGATATCGGATTCAAGTGATTTTTTTATAGAGATGATCTTTGAATAATGATTATCTACAAAATAGATTGTTTGGATTAGTGAAATATAATACGAAGTGGCCCTACAAAGGTATCCCTTAAATAAGCTTATTTAAGGAATCCCTCAACTAAAGCTCCTTATATATATATATTTGATTTTTTTTTATCCCCAAAATCTCCCTGGGCTACAGCCCAAGATAGCGCTTGGAGTAGTTTCACCCATGACGGCAATAAGATGTTGGCTATGCCAATGCGAGATTATCACAGTGTTTGTGGCTCTCCCCTTCCCCCTTGGGGTTTCTTTCCTCCCAACGTATCTGAATAGTTGTTGGCAAACTACAATTGAATATTCAACTATGCAAACAAAGAGATTTTTGGAGACTAGAAGCAATAAATAGCAGGCAGATGGGAAAGAGGGAACACCAATATAGACTAAAAACTTTCCGTTTGAATATTGTAGAAGATGGAAAAAGCGACAGGCCATGTCACAGCTGTGTTAGGATGAAAGAATTATTTAACAGATAAGATTTTTTTTTTGGGTCCAATATTTAACGAAGAAGTTAAGCTTGCATTAATTGTTGGATGATAAGTTGCATTCTTCGGGGAAATTATTGGAGACGACTGACTTAGTCGTTGAACGTACAAAACTTGAGGTGGTTAGGAAACGTCAAAGCTGTTATTGTTGGGTTGAAACTTGAAATTGAATTGATTGGCTGGAATTCATACATAGACGAAAGAGTGCAGAGAAGACTTCACTGATTAATCTGAAAATTGAATCTGGAGGTTAAGAAGGAGAGCATAGCATGGCTGAGGCAGTTGTTTCGTTTGTGCTCGAAAGGGTCGGAGACTTCGCCACTCAGGAAGCCAAGTTCTTGTCTGGAGTGAGCCATCAAGTTGAGGTTGCACAAACTGAGCTACAATTGATGCAGGGCTTCCTCAAAGATGCAGACGCAAGACAAGGACAAGATGCAACAGTACAAGTTTGGGTTGCCAAAACTAGAGATGCTGCTTATGATTTGGAAGATGTTATTCAAACTTATGGCTTGAAAGTGGCTTCCAAGAAGAAAAGGGGCATCAAGAATATTCTCAGAAGATTTGCCTGCATCTTCAGGGAAGGGGTTGATCTTCGAAAGATTGGGTTAGAAATTGAGAACATTACTGCCAAAATTTCTAATTTGAGGTTAAGTTTGCAAAGTTATAATATTGCAAGGGTACCAACAGAGGTTGGAGGTGAATCTTTCTTGCAATTGCATGAGAGGCAACGACTACTGAGGCGAACTTATTCTCATGTTATTGAACGTGATGTTGTTGGATTAGAGTTCAACGTTGAAGAATTGGTTATGCATTTAGTAAAAGATGAAAATCGTCATCGAGTGGTATCTATTTGGGGGATGGGTGGTTTAGGGAAGACCACCCTTGCAAGACAGGTTTATCATCACAAAAATGTTAGGCAACATTTTCATAGTTTTGCTTGGGTGTGTGTATCTCAACGGTGTGAAATAAGAAATGTTTGGGAAGGAATTTTCATTAAACTCATTTCTGCTACCAAGGAACAAAGACAAGATATTAAGGAAATGACATATGATGAAATAGCAAAGAAGCTTTTTTGTGTCATGCAAGAAATGAGATGTTTGGTGATACTTGATGACGTTTGGAGTATCGAGACGTGGAATTTTTTGAATGTTGCATTTCCAAATGAGAAAACAGAGAGCACAATATTACTCACAACACGCTATGAAGCAGTCGCTTTGCCCCCAAATAGAAATTGTTTCCTCCACAAACTCCAGCCACTAAAGGAGAATGAGAGTTTGGCACTATTAGAGAAGATAGCAATATTTGGAAGGCCTGATATCGGTATTTTCTCACCCTTAATATATATTTGTTTTCTATTCTTATTTATATAGAGGCCAAGCGATTCCAAAATTTGGAAGGCCCTATATCTGCTGATAGAAAGGTTTTTATATATTTTTTTTCCTAAGAATTGTTGGGAGTTTGCAGTTTTCAAATATCATCGAGCACTTAGCAAAGGGGGTGGGAATCAATTTGGTCAAACCAACTAAATCGGCCGATTCAAACTGTAATTACTGGTTTAGTTTGATTTTGGATAAGAAAAAGTCAAATTGTTTTAAAATCGAATCGGACCGTAAATAGTTTGGTTTGGTCTATAGCATTTGCAATCCGCCCTAAACTAAACCAAACCATCCACTTATATATTTATCTATTTATATTTTATTATGCACGTGTAGTCATCTCATTGGATAATAACTATATATGGATGTTGAATTTGAAGTTTGATGTGGAACTTTGAATTTATTGATATTTGAATATTTTGCTGTTTTAGTTATTGAACTTTGAAGTTTAATTATATGTTGAGTTTTAGGATAGTTTTAAATGGAGTTTCAGGATGGTTTGATATGCTAGAAAATGGAAAGAAAAAAAGGCTAGTCAATTATTATTATTATTTATTTATTTATTTGGTGTTGTTGTAATTGGGTTAACAATGTTGAAAAAATGCAAAAAGGAAAAAGAATTGGGCTTATGCCCAAACCGGCAGAACTAATAAATCATCTTAAATTGATTCGATTTGGTTCGATTTCATCCGCGATTTTTGTCAAAACCGAACCAAATGAAATCGTTATATTGTAATTTGTATGTTCCCTTGAAAATATATCCCAAACATATTTTTCGGGTTTGTCAAAATTTAATTTTTGTCATTTGTCCATTATGCATTATGCTTTTTATAGAATCCGAACCTATAATATTACAAAGGACACTTCTGATAAACTTTCTACATTTTCTAATTGTAGTTCTTAAATCGTTTAAGCAAGGGATACCTTATGATAAATTGTCATAGTACGGTTGCTCATACTACAAGTCGCTGTTTTTCCTTTGCTTATTTTCAGATTCGGGAATTTACTCTAAGATGAGAGAATTAGGTAGGAAGTTGCTTCGACATTGTGCAGGATTGCCACTTGCCATCATTGTGCTTGCCGGAGTTCTTTCCACAAAAAACACTATTAAACAATGGGAGATGGTAAACGAGAATGTATATGCATACATAAGGAGAGGCAGAGGTCATGAACAAGAATACGAAGGTGCATCATGGGTGTTGGCATTGAGCTATGATGACCTACCGTACCACTTAAAACCATGCTTTTTATATTTAGGCCATTATCCTGAAGACCGTGAGATTTCAGTGAGCACATTAACTAAGTTATGGATGGCTGAAGGTCTTATCTCATTGAGACAACAAAGACATAGTCTAGAGGAAACAATGGAGAATATAGCACACAATTGCTTAACTGAGTTGGTGGAAAGGTGTGTGGTTCAAGTGGGAAGAAGCGGTTCAACTGGGACAATAAAAACATGTCAGATCCATGACCTTATAAGAGACTTGTGTTTGTTAAAGGCAGAAGAGGAAAGCTTTCTCCAGATTGGCTATTCTTTGCAGGAAAATAAGGCAACTAATCCTGTTACTTCTTCTATGGTAGCCAAGGCAACACCAGTGGGGAAAATTCGAAGACTTGCAATCTACCTGGATGAGAATGCTGATAGGTTGGTTTCATCAAGAGATGAAACAAATGGCCACGTCAGATCTCTATTATACTTTGTCTTAGGAGAATGGAGGCCAAGAAGTGAAAAAGTATTACTATCTCCGCTGACGGATTTCAAAGTGCTTAGAGTTTTGAAGGTTGAAGATGTTGATGAAGTAGAAGTAGAGTTGCCAAGTGAAATTGGAAATATGGTCCACTTGAGGTTTCTAAGTGTGAGGGATAGCAAAATAAAAAGGTTTCCATCATCCCTAGGTAATTTGATATGCTTGCAAACTCTTGATTTCCGTGTTCGATATGTCGAATTGTTCATCCCAAATGTGATATGGAAAATGAAGCAATTAAGGCATTTATATTTACCAAGGCGTTACACAGCAAGTGGTAACCTGAAGCTATCTACTCTTGGTCATTTACAGACCTTAGATTTTCTTTCAAGTGAGTACTGTGATTTGAAGGATGTTGCTGGATTAACCAATCTCCTAAAACTGCAGATAAGATTGTCACTTCCCTTGGAAAATCTGGAGGAAATCTTGAAATCTGTAGGCAGCACGCTTAATCGTATCCAGTCTCTACTTGTATACAATGGTTATTATTCTGTAAGGAATACAAGTTATGAGGAGCAGGGTAATCAAATAGTATCAAGTTGTCGTCGTATATACAAACTGAAGCTGGATGGGCCGACAGCAGAATTACCAAAAGAGCTCCACAACTATCCAAACCTCACCAAGTTAGAATTGTGTAGCTGTAGTCTAATGGCCGACCAAATGGGAATACTAGAGAAGCTGCCAAACTTAACAACTCTGCTCCTTATAAGTGAAGTTTTTGAGGAGAATACAAAGACACTGGTTTTCTCCAAAGGAGGCTTTCCTTCCCTTCAATTTCTTTCCGTTTTTCGTATGGACGAAATAACAGAGTGGAGGGTAGAGGAAGGAGCCATGCCTAGTCTGTGGCGATTGCGAATAGGGTTTTGCAGTGGATTGACTACGCTTCCAGATGGGCTGACATATCTTACTAATCTCAAGGAACTAACCATTTTCGGGATGCCTAGAGAACTCCATAGTAGGATTCAGGAAGATGGAGAGGATTTCTGTAAAATTCAACATGTACCTTCCGTTGTAATTGGAGAACCCTACGACCCACCAATGCATTGAAAAGGTAATTTCTTAATTTCTCTCTCTTTTTTCTTCTTTCTTATTTTTGTCTCGTTTGATTCACGTCTTAGTGAAATGGGTTCTAGGTATCAAATGTGTAATGTCGTTCACTAGTAAAAGATTTGTGTGGCAGTTGAAGGCCATGCTGGTGAAGCACAGAGGGCACAATATTGCCTCCCCTGTTTTGCTCTGTTTTCTTTCTTCAGTTTGAGAGCTCATAGGTGCGTGAGTTATGAGTGAGAGGCTTAATTTAAAAGCCAACTGCTTGGGATTTTGAAACAATATTGAAGGTATTACTTTTGATCATTGGATGTCCTTCTTGAAGGCTTGTTAACATACACCTAATATCTTTGAAATGTCAACTCTTTCCCTTGTCATGTGAACAACAATTCCATAAGCTATAGGATTTTCTTTGTAGTTGATCATGTTATACTAATACTTTTTAACTCCTTAATCCAGTTGATGTGAAATGTATCAGAACACAAAACAAACAACGGCACATTCATTACAATACGTTGGATCTGGAACATCCTCGCTTATACACGCACTATATCAACATCAATATACTAATACTTTTTGGGCATAGTGAAATGTCAAATCTTTCCCTTGTCATGTGAACAACAATTCCATAAGCTATAGGATTTTCTTTGTAGTTGATCATGTTAACAAGTTATCTAAGGTTCAAGTATGGCAAAAGTGCTGAATTTGTGTTATGGTAGCTGCAGCTGGGACTTGACATTGAAAAAGTAAGGCCACACTTTGTGTCATCATGGAGCTCAGCTGCTGAGCAGAGGGATAATACTTCTTACAGGTTGTACCATCTTCTGAGTTGTAGCATCTTCTGCACGTCATAAGGCCGGCCACTGTGCCATTCAGACTGCTGCGGGCGATGGTGATCATGATCAACATTCATATTTTGACGGCGTAAAACTTGACAGGAATGCCAATTCTTGCTTTTATGCAATTACAAATTGCAATGTTCTAATAATACTTTTTTACTCCTTAAACCAGTTGATGTGAAATGTATCCGAACACAAAATTACGTATATAAACAAACTATAGCCTTTATCAACATCAATATATATTCATACAACACAAAGCAAATTCCATCAAACAAAAACAAAAAAGAGATGGCGAAGACAAACACTACATTGTTTGTCTGCCAAGTATATTAGCGATCATTTTATCATCGAAGGAGGCATCTGTGGAGCAGCAGTAGGTGGCCCAATCCAACCTACATATTCAGGGTGTCATCAACGTCCATGTCTTGCTTTTTGAGCTTTTGGCTTTGTTGTACTCTGTTTCCTTTTCTGAGATCAGAATTCGACCCAAAAAAAAAAATTGCAGACAATTAATTTTCTTTTCAAATGCAAGCCAAAACAAACCAAAGAAAAAGATGGAAAGTGCTGGTGGTTCCTAAGATTTTCTATTTATACACCCCCCAACATCCATCCACCTTTGAAAAGATTGCTGGAAAATGGAAAAGTTTCAGCAATGTAAGAGAGAATGAAATGTTTTCAAAAAATGTATAAACGGTTGCCTTCTGCCTTGCTTGACAAAGAATCAATACAATGGTTTATATACTGGTTTACCTGACTAGAGGAAACCCTATAGGACAAAGGTGGTCCTTATCCACGTACAGCTGGAACGGTTGGACACGTGGTGGTCCTTGTGATGAGGCACGGTGTGTTGAGTAGATGACACCTTGACTTGGGTGTGCTGAGTAATTTGATCATGACTTGTATTCAGGGTGTGCTAAGCAGATTGTGGAGTGTGGTTAACACTGAAATTGATTAAATTATAGACATACGCTTCTTCTCTTGGTAAATCCGCCATGTTATTATTAGGGCTGGTTTGGAATTACTTCTTTATGAAGCACTTATGCTCATAAGTACTTTTTATAAAACACTTTTATTATAAATATGTTGAAATTGTCATAAGAAATCTAAGTGCTTTCTGGAGAAGCACTTGGATATTCTTTGTCACTCTGCTCATATTATCTGCACAGGGTTGGCCAGATCCTTAGCCACCTACCCGACTTATCTACAAAAGTGGTCAGCCAGTTTCCCCTTCCCCTAGTGTGTGATTACAGGACATATGCACTATGTAGATGGTTACAAGTATGGCTTTCAGGTAAAAGGGTTTGGTTATGTAAGTGTTCGAATGTACAATGATAAACTAATTGAACATTTATGTATTATCTTAATTATGATTTGTGGTAGAAAGAACTATGTGTGGTTTGATCCCTCAGTAAGGGTACGTAGGCAACCCAGACTAACCTAGGTGCAACCGCAAGTTTATGATTTGTTTGTTATGTTTAATTATGTCAAGATTAATTTTCTGACTTTCTTATGTTGGTAAAGGGGGGGCTTGAAGCCCATTAAAACTTTTGCTAATTGGTGTGTGGTTTATACCTTGTGCTTATTGAACCCTTCGGAAAAAAAAAATTTGTGTTTGCTATGTAGGTAGATTTCTGGGTTTTTATTCTTTTTCAGGGGAGATTCTGCCGGTTTTCTAGTATAAGTCAAACCCTAAAGCAGTTTTTGGGATAGGGCAATGAAAGATATTTTAGTCATTCGTGACCAATACTTGCGAAGTGTTGAACACGCATGGGATTCGACACGGATTCCAAAGTGAATTTTGGGTCGGGTCCTATCATTTAGGGTCCCTTACGAATTTTTTTTCAACGATCCAAACTATCTATTTTTTAAGTATACATTCATAGATCATCCTTGCAAAAAAATTAGACAAAGTGAAAACTGTTTCGACATCCAATTATGTCCTACAAAATCAATGAACACGGGCTTCAAGAAAGTACTAAAATTTCTATAATTCAATTGAGTGGTCAAATGATATTGGATTCAAGTGATTTTTTGTAGAGATGATCTTTGAATGAATATCTACAAAATAGACTGTTTGGATTAGTAAAATATAATACGGAGTGGGCTCTACAAGAGAGTCCCTCAATGGAAGCTCTCTGTATATTTGAGGGATCCCTCACAGTTATTCTGTTATTCGGATGTCCGCATATTATTATCTTGTTGATGCCATTGTAAACGGCAAGAAAGCAGAGAGGAGTAGTATAAAATACATGGCGTCCGCACGATAAACACCTCATGCTTATAGCTGGCAGCCTTTCATTCATATTCACATGCCAATTGATACCACATACTAGATATGTAGACATTCTCTTTCTATCTCATCTTTAACCGACTCTTATTATTACTATAAACAGGAGCCTACTTCACTATTTGTTCAATTCTACAATGTGGTAGTTCTTTTAGAGAGAGAGAGAAGAAGAAAAAGGAAAGAAATATGGGAAAGACAAAGTAAAAGAGAGATGCAAGGAAATATGATATTGGAGGAGATGAAGAGGTTTGCTTGTGTTTTACTAATTTGTAGTTATATTTTAGAATTGAGGTAGGGAGTGTCTTGAGCAGCCATTACAGAAATTGATTTAATTAAATTTCGTGAGGACTATATTATGCTTAATATTATAATTTGATTAATGTTCTTAATATTGGTTGTTTACATGTTGTTAATTATTTTATATTATTTTATTAATTTTGACATGTTCATATGTTATCGATGATGGTTGGAATTTTTGGGGTTAATAAAGAACTTAGGAAAAGAGTATGTAATAGGAAGGATCTTTTGTGCAATTGAGTCTGACTATTGTAGGGATCAAGTTCAGGCGAGCCCATGTGCACAGTAGATTAGGATATTAGCGATATAATTGTCGATTAGGTGATTTGGGCTTGAAGATCAATTACTTAAACAAGACGACTAGCAAAAGGGGAATTATGGGATGATTGAGATGGGTGTTAGTTTATATAATTGGGTATTTAGAATTACAGTAGTAAAATGTATGGTATAAGACATGCAGATTTGCTTGTCATATTATATAGATCAACGGGTTGGGTAGAATCAAAACTCATTCATGCATTATTATCTTTTATTTGTTATGTGATTGCATGTCACTTAATTTAGTTATATCAATTTACTGTGGAAAATTTTATGTCCCTATTGAGTTGTGGTTTCGCTCACCTATTTATAGACCTTGGAGTTGTAAAACCCAAAAGACGGTGGTAGGCGAGCCAAGGTTGAATTAGATAAGAGTGATAGAACTTTATTTATTTCTTGTACTCTTGTATGATTTTGGAGTTAATTTTATAAGAAAAGTTTATTTTAAACCCTATTTTGACCTTTATTTTTATTTTTTAATGTACAGGACATGAGATTTTTTTTCTATCGTACCCCGAGTCCGGGGTGTGACAGAATGACACCATCTCTTAAGCACATAGAGCGTGGGGTTTTTTTTCCATCATATCCCGAGTTAGGGGCGTGACACTTTATGATTGTGCTAATAATTGTTAACAGGGCGTTTGTTAAGTGAGTAATTAAACAAACGAAAAAATTGTTAGCAGGGCCTTTGTCTGCCAAAGTATATATATTCAAGATCACTTGTGCATGGATACCTGTGGAGCAGAAGTTGGTGGCCCAATGATCCAACCTAAATTTTACATACAAAAACAAAATACCGTAATTAGGACCAAATGATGTTGATGATAATGATATAAAATTGATAATTAAGGCTCATAATAACTTGATGATTGTGCTAATATGGGGTTTAGATTAGAACCTCTCGAAGGGTCGAAGCCTCTAGATTTGAGCTGAGAATGTTCTTGACAGAGAGCACAACGTTCGCAGCAGAAATGAACACAACAATCCGACCAGGGCTCCTTCGGCAAATAAAACTTTTGGTTTTGGCGTAATTTCTTTCTATAAATGCACGAGTACAAGTGTACACCCACTGGAAATGAATCAAATATAACAGCCCGTACACTAGGCCTCGATGCATTTATAGAAACAAATATCCTCCTTGAAAGTCCGTCACTTAGTATAGAAAACAATTATCCTCCTTGAAATTGTTATATTCAACCAGTCTCTCACAAGAAGTCGTCCTGACATTAACAAGTAAGGGACTCAAATTTTTACTT